ATGTCTTGAGTGTAAAACAATATTTCAAGTCTTTGAAAAGCTAGATACCTGTTTGGCTCATGGATAGTTATGCTTATTCTACCACCACATAATCGTATTGCCATAATTCTGGATAAGTATCCCTGAACCTTTCTATTAAAATTACAATTTAAGTACCGTAATTTTTCCCATCGAGTAAAACAAGATAAATATAATTTTATATTTTAAGTTTTATATAGCTTGTAAACGACGAGGTCACAAAACACAGAGGATTATTTCTTTTCCATTTGAACATTCAGATATAATGATAAAATATGGTATGACGCCAATGAGACAACTATCAACCAAAGACCAAACGATGAGGATGTGAAGGCCATTTTATTAAAATCAAGTTGTTGGATTGTAAAATTGTACATCTAGCACACCTGACCTCACTTGGCGTCCATCGTCGTAGTCCGTCGTATGACGGCGTCTGTTAATCTTACGAAAATCATCTCGAAAATTACCGGGCCAATTGGAATCAAACTTGGCAACAATATCATTGGGTATCTAGTTTTAATAATATGTCAGATGATCCAACCTGCCAACTAAAATGATCGACATGGTTAAAAATAGAACAACATAGACGTAAAATGCAAGTTTCGTCTATTATCTTAAAAAAACCTATAGATAGAGAAAATATGGACTTAGACGTGCTTTTTCGGGCGTCAACGCCGGCTTTGGCGTCCTCATCAATGTATTAGTTTGTAATTAGGTCAGTGTATGAGGAACCAGTAGTGGTAGGTCAATAATATTTGTTATGCAGTTGTATTTGCATTGACATATCTCATTTTCATGAAGATTATATAGGCCCGCCACCTCAGACATGGTATAATGACAATGAAACTTTCGCTTTCTTTACATGTTTATTTTTGTGATTAGGTCAGTAATTGTCTTTGAATGTCTTGCATAGTCTACATGATTAGATTAGTTTAAGATGAACCACTAGTGTTAAGTGAATGGTATTTAGTATTTAGTTGTATAAGCATGTGCAAATCTCATTTCCATGCATATTATATACTAGTTTGGAAAGGTGTTCTTCAATTCTGTATTCATTAAAATTGCAAACCATCTTTCTCGATTCTTGAAATTTTTGCCCATTTTTCGCTTTCTTTATATTTTAACCCCTCCATTATTCTCTTTTCTTTCTCTTTAATCTGCACTTTTTGCCTAGTTTTTTCAGTAAACCCCATCCAGACCCTTTTATATAGCCCCGTCCCCTCATCATGGTTCATTGACTTTTGCATAGGTTACAGTTAAAGTTTGCTTTTTGATTGGTTTAAAGGGAACCACTTATGAAATGTCAATGTTATTTGGTATACCGTTTAGTGGGCATTGGCATTTTTCATTTCCATGGAGCTTATTTGGTCATACACCATTAGTCATGGTTCATTGACTTTGAATGTTTGGCATAGTTTTACATAGTTTAACTTTCCATCTTCCTCGGAAGAGCCTGTCCCAAGTCAGGAATATGTCAATTGTTTCTCACTTGTTCTGTTGATTGAAAGCGTTTAATTTTGTGTTAGTTTTTATTGACTTCCCTTTTTTGAATTTTCTATGGAGTTTGGTATTTTTGGTAAACTTTTTTACATGTTTAAATATTGCCATCTTGATTTCAACATTTGCATTGTACTATCAAAATTACAAAAAAGCGAGACATATCGATCTCTGTGTCAATGGTATATTACAAATAATAGTGTATGTTTTTGCCTATTATCTTGAAAACTACAATAGATAGATATAAACCTTTAAAGCAAAAATGATGATCAGAACAAGATCTACAAGTCAAGCAAGTGTCCGAAATATCAGTTGAATACTTATGGGAGTTAAATGACGATTTTTACGATTTTTGCGTTCTGACTTATTTTATATTTTATTATTTTATATTCTAGTCTACAATGTTGGAATGTGGCCATAGTTGAAAATGCATATAAGATAAGATAAGATAAGATAAATTTTATTTCCAATAAATTACCCATTATAGGCATAGTCAGTACATTGATTTTTTTTAATATCACACAATTGCAATAGACAACACACAAGAAAATAAAAGAAAAGAAATATAACTGAAAAAAAACATGAAATATGAATTGAGTTAATAATACATGTAGTCACGTTTTATTTAACTGAGCGACACACGCTCTTTAGATCCTCTAGTTTTATATGCAAGACATTTGCGTATTGCAAAACTGTGGTATGAATAAACCCCTTCATACTTGTATGTTAAACAGTGAAATTTATATAGGGTTTTAAAAGCGTGTTATATATAACTCCTGTTTAGTCCTATACCTTGGATCTCGGTCATAAAACTTAATTTAGTACTCTGAGTACAATATTTGTGCAAGAAACACCATATCCAGTATTTTCATTGGTTGATTTCTGAGTCGGAGTACGATAATCGTGCTCGAAATGGTTATGACCGCAATGCATTATATTTAAACTAGGACGAGACTCGACCACGAGTATCAGTGTTCAAGAAAAATTAAAGGATTTGAAGAGAGAAAGATGCAAGCCTTAAAATAAATTGAATCGATGCTAATTCTAAAAAAGGCATGGTGCTAATTTCAAAAAGGCATATTAGTGCGTTAAACCAATTAGATGTCTAGTTGTCTGGGTAGCCCAGTAGCCAGTACTCATGTTCTGACATGAAATATCATTGACACGATCGTTTTCTGTAAGTAAACTGTTCATAAAACTTTAAAATCATTCGCAACATTAAAATGTTCTACCACTAGGCAAAGATGACCTAAGTCAGATTTGATACAACTTTTTGGTTTTGCATGTTCTTCGTTTATTTTATTGAATTAGTTTTCTTACTGACTGTTTTGATTCGAGTGTCACTAATAAGACTTTTAATTTTGTAGCCGAAACAGAACGCACATCTTCCATACCATCGGAAATAAACACATTTATTCTAAAACCAGTTGTTGGCATGGTACGGGCTATGTTCTTCTCATATATTTTATGATGGTATGATACTAAACCCCTAACGGGAGGGATTGTACTTGATTTTCATATGACGAAGACATAATCTTTCAGTCAGTTTGATTGCTGTCTGGAGCTGGCATGTCAGTAACTGCTAGTAGTCCTTTGTTAGTTTATGTATCATTGTCATTTTGCTTAGTTTCATTTGTTACCTATTCTGACATCGGACTCGGACTTCTTTTAAACTGAGTTTTACTGTGCGTATTGCTGTATGTTTGTTTATTCTACATTGGCTAGAGTTATAGGGGGAGCGTTGAGATCTCACAAAACATGTTTAACCCCGCCGCATTTTTGCGCCTGTCCCAAGTAAGGAGCCTCTGGCCTTTGTTAGTCTTGTATGTTTTTTTAATTTTAGTTCATTTATATGTTTTGGAGTTTTGTGGGACGTCCATTTTCACTGAACTAGTACACATTTTTATTTAGGGGCCAGCTGAGGACAACCTCCGGGTGCGGGCTTTTCTCTCTGCGTTGAAGACCCATTGGTGGCCTTCGGCTGTTGTCTGCTCTTTGGCCGTGTTGTTGTCTCTTTGACATATTCCATATTTCAATTCTCAATCTTACAAGTTATAAGCTTGGTATCTGTGATGACATATTAAGTTATAAGATTGGTATCTGTGATGACATAGTAAGTTATAAGCTAGGTATCTGTGATGAGTTTTTTCATAAGCTCTGGTTGATCATATGTTCACATTCTCACTTAAGAGAATATTTTTCATGACTATTATTTCTTTGTATAAAAATAAGAAAATGATTGCCAATGAAATACATCTACACAAATGACCAAAGGAATAGTTTTTGAACTACTACAGGTTACGGTAAATCTTTCAACAATGATCAAACTCCTTATTTAGGTCCTTCTTGATCATATAGATCTTCAACTGTTTCGGTTCTCATACATTCTTGGCTGTCAAATATCCCGTTGAGCGTTTTTGATGAAGGTAAATCCAGAAAAGCGCTTCGGACGTAAGAAATTTATAAAGTGTTTTTTACATTTTTTTTTATCGTATGAAAGGCCCCGTGATGAAAAAATGTCAATCAATACTAAAGAGAAAACGAACGGACTGATTTTTACTGAACTAAAGAACGAAGAATGAACCTCCTCATGGAGTTTTTGAATATGTGATTACTTGGCCGTTTTTATAGTGATTATTTGATTACCAAACCAAATATTTCATGATTATTTGATTATTTGATAATCTAGGACTGTATTTATGATTATTTGATTATCTTGTTTAAAAAAATAATTAATGATTATGTGATTATATTGGCAAAACATTTGTGATTATGTGATTACTTGGACACCCCCATGAGGGGCCTCAAGAATAGTTATTGGAGACAATAACCAACGACAACCACTGGATTAAAGACTTGAAACATGCACATACTGTAAATACAGTATGTAGCGGGGTTATACCTATTTGTATTGAGCGAACTCATTTACTGACCCTCCTTCTAACCTAGGATGACAACATAAGAACAAATAGTAACATCAGTAAGAAATGACTCGACCCATCAGCTCGGTACTACATAAACTCATCATAGATACCAGGATTGAAATTTTTTACGCAAGACGCGCGTTTTGTCTACAAAAGACTCACTAGTGAAGCTCGAATCAAAAAAGTTAAAAAGGCCAAATAAAGTACAAAGTTGAAGAGCATTGAAGACCTAGATTCCTAAAAGTTTTGCCAAATACAGCTAAGGTAATCTTTTCCTGGGGTAGAAAATCCTTAGTATGTCAAAAAATTCAAAGTACAAAGCACAAAAACAACAAACAAAAAACAAAAATCCAACCTAAGAGTACTCTCAGTTAATTAAAGATTGTTCAAAGACCGTTTAAACTAATAAACACACATTATGCACTTATTCATTATTATGAATCCACATACTTGATCATTTAATCTTCCATTTGGAATAGTACCATTCATAGTTTTGCCAATATAATTCTAGATAAAACTCGGTGTATACTTTTTGTTTCAACGATTAAGTTATAATCATAATTGACAAGTGACTATTTTTATTTGTACGAAAAGACCTTGCCTTAGCCTTGTACTTTACTACAAGTTCTCCTGACGTTTTTACTCTTGGAACCAAGCAGCTGAAATAAATGATATAAATGGAGATTCATAAAATTTCATACCACCTTGAACTCGTTTAACTTAATCCCATTAGCAGATCTTGTAATGTTAAATAAATGTCATTTACGGCTTTTTCTTTTTCAAATATTTGCTAATGGAAGCAAAGTTAGCAGCAATCATTCAGAAGAACATTATATATTTGTAGACGTAAGTGCTAGTATCTATTTAAGTTCAGTTGTGCTTTTATTATTGCATGTTAACCAGTTAGTTTGTTTACATTTTCCCCATACTAAATATGATTTAAGGGAAACGATTCTGTTACTAAATAGAAATGATTATTTTTACTCTAGTAATTATCTTACGGTGAATATATAAATGCTTGTTGACTTACCTTTGCAAAAATCATCATCTTCATCACTGCCATCTGCACAATAAACTTCTTGTCCATCACACAAAGATGCGTAAGGAAAACAATGAATACCATCTCTACATTTAGTGTAACCGGGTGCACAATATTTCTCTACGAAATAAGAACTATTTAGATTAAAGATCTTTAAAAAAAAAGACATAAAAAGAAAAAGGCTACATAAACATTAAAAATCACTCTGAAGGTCAAATATTTCAAGAGAATATCAATAATTATTCTTACAATTACTAGAATTGTGGCCTCTGAATTGTGCCAATGATTAATTCCCAAAATTAAATTCTGTAGGGGTTTCTTGATTTTATATCAATGCAAGAATACAATGAGGTTCTAGAAATGTAAGTTTTGTTATTCATACTACTGAAATTTTGAGTTTGTATAAATGAGTTAGTAAATTTAAACGATATGTAATAACGATAAGTATCAACATAGTATTGTAATCCTGGTTAAGAGAGTTTGTTACTTTAACGATATGTAATAAAGATAAGTAATAACATGGAATTGTTATCCTGTGTAAGATAGTTGATTATTTTAACGATATTGAATAACGATAAGAAACAACATAGTATTGTAATCTTGTGCAAGAGAGTTGGTTATTTTAAAGATCATATGTAATAATGATAAGTCACAATATAGTATTGTAACCTTGTGTAAGAGAGTTGGTTATTCAAACGATATGTAATAACGATAAGTAACAACAATGTGTTGTAATCCTGTGTAAGAGAGTTTGATATGCTAACGATATGTAATATTGATAAGTAATGACATGGTATAGTAATCCTGTTTAAGAAACTTGATTATTTTACCGATATGAAATAAAGATAAGTAACAACATTGTATTCTAATAGTGTGTAGGAGAGTTGGTTATTTTAACGATATGAAATGATAAGTAACAACATAGTATTGTTATCCTGTGTAGGATAGTTGGTTATTTTTAACGATATGTAATAACGACAAATTACAAAACAGTATTGTTATTGTAATCTTGTGTAAGAGTGTTGGTTATTCTAACGATATGTAATAAAGATAAGTTACAATATAGTATTGTAATCCTGTGTAAGAGAGTTGGTGACTTTAACGATATGTAATAACGATAAGTAACAAAATAGTTTTGTTATTGTAATCCTGTGTAAGAGTGTTGTTTATTTTAACGATATGTAATAAAGATAAGTAACAACATAGTCTTGTAATCATGTGTAAAAGAGTTGGTTATTCTAACGATATGTAATAACGATAAGTAACAAAATAGTATTGTTATCCTGTGTAAGACATTTGGTTATTAAAGATAATGATATGTGAAAATGATAGGTAACAAAATAGTATTGTTATTGTTATGCTGTGTAAGAGTGTTGGTTATTTTAACGATATGTAATAATATGTAATGACATGGTATTGTTATCCTGTGTAAGAGTGTTGGTTATTTTAACGATATGTAATAATGATAAGTAATTACATGGTATTGTTATCCTGTGTAAGAGTGTTGGTTATTTTAACGATATGTAATAATGATAAAGTAATGACATAGTATTGTAATCCTGTGTAGGAGAGTTGGTTATTTTAACGATATGTAGTAACGATAATTAACATTATTCCATATTAGTATTATTTTAGTAGGTTTCTCTATATGAATTAGATTTTAAATAAAAAAGCATATTCACCTGGAGGAAAGTGTTATTCACCGCGCTAAACGTCACGAGCTTTTACATGTAACGTTATGGTAAAATGTTTGATGTACAATGGGTTTGGGTAAATATTTGTCATTAAATACATTATTTTCTCTTGGAATATGGAATAAAACAATTACTGTCTTTTGTTTCGGTAAATATGTGGTTTAATTGACTTTTGAAAAACTGATATTCACTTCGGCCGTCGGCCTCAGTGAATATCAGTTTTTCAAAAGTCAATAAAACTGTATATTTACCTCATCAAAAGGCAGTAATTGTATAACATAGCATTGCAATTATGTAATAATGATAAGTAATTACATGGTATAGTAATCCTGTGTAAGAGAGTTGGTTATTTTAACGATATGTAATAATGATAAAGTAATGACATAGTATTGTAATCCTGTGTCGGAGAGTTGGTTATTTTAACGATATGTAGTAACGATATTTAACATTATTCCATATTAGTATTATTTTAGTAGGTTTCTCTATATGAATTAGATTTTAAATAAAAAAGCATATTCACCTGGAGGAAAGTGTTATTCACCGCGCTAAACGTCACGCGCTTTTACATGTAACGTTATGGTAAAATGTTTGATGTACAATTGGTTTGGGTAAATATTTGTCATTAAATACATTATTTTCTCTCGGAATATGGAATAAAACAATTACTGTCTTTTGTTTCGGTAAATATGTGGTTTAACTGACTTTTGAAAAACTGATATTCACTTCGGCCGTCGGCCTCAGTGAATATCAGTTTTTCAAAAGTCAATAAAACTGTATATTTACCTCATCAAAAGGCAGTAATTGTATAGCATAGCATTGCAATTATGTAATAATGATAAGTAATTATATGGTATAGTAATCCTGTGTAAGAGAGTTGGTTATTTTAACGATATGTAATAATGATAAGTAACAAAATAGTATTGTTATCCTGTGTAAGACACTTGGTTATTCAGGATAACGATATGTGATAATGATAGGTAACAAAATAGTATTGTTATTGTTATTGTTATCCTGTGTTAGAGTATTGGTTATTTTAACGATATGTAATAATGATAAGTAATGACATAGTATTGTAATCCTGTGTAGGAGAGTTGGTTATTTTAACGATATTTAGTAACGATAAATAACAACATAGCATTGCAATCCTGTACGAATCACTGCATGACTAGAACGCAATTTTCGTCAGAATGTTCTCATGGTTCAGATTAGATTTACATTTATCTTCCAACATTTGATTCAGAGTTTTTAGGCCTTCTTTTGACCATAGAAGCATTGTATTCACTTCCATGTTTTAACTCATATATGTTACTACCACAGTATTTTATATATATATCAATGACGCAATGAGAGCTAAACTATGAAACACCTTTCGGAGCCTTTACAAAAAAGTAATAATGTGTACCGACTTTTGAAACATCAGAGTATATGTTATAATGAAAATAACTCGTTTTAATTATATCGCTGTTAAATCACTTTCGTTTTTTTGACAGCGTTTGCGTTGCTCAGTTTTTTGTTTTCTGTGCACTGTGTTGAAGACTTTGATTTTTTTTCTCGTTATTTTTCATTTTGGCCATAGGTTTTTGTAGTCCCTTTGATATTTTCGACAAGTGTTTGTCGTCCCTTTTATTTTTTCTGTTTTTTTTTTTCGACAATTGTATTATTTTTTAAATCAAACTATTTAGACCAATGAACAAAACTCTAACCTTTACAAAAGTCTTCACTATCATCGCTATCATCTGGACAATAGCGGCCCAGTTCATCACAAAGGGCCGTATCGGGGAAACAATGGATACCATCCCTACATTTAGAGTGCCCCGAAGCACATTCATGTACTGTAATAAAACGTATTTCAATTATGACAATAGTTTATTCAATATTTTTCCTGAGTACGACGTTTAGAGTTTTAGGTTTTCTTAAAGTTGCATTAATATTATCAAGATTGTAATTATATTCTTCATAAGTCTGTCGTTTGATCATTTTTTCTTTTGAAAAGCGAATATATCAAGATTGAAAATCCAAAGAATTAAAAAAATAATAATAATATTCAGTTAAAACAATTGTAAATTATTTAGCAGTTGTAGCATTATAATTCTTTACTTCAGTTTATGTGTTTTTAATTCATAAAGTAAAATCGAATTTAAATTACATTTGCAAAACTCGGGATCCTCATCGCTGTTGTCAGCACAGTCAATTCTAGGATACCAGTTAGATCCGTCACACAGACGATTGCGTTTTATACACTGGATACCGTCTCGACATTTCACATAGTCTTTGTCACACTCATGTACTGAATAAGAAATATACATAAAAAAAATATAGAAAGACATATATTGCAACTTAACTTAACTTGCCCCTTAATGTATTCTTCATATCAACCACATATTCGGTACGCCTCAGCTAGCCACTACGGCAAAGTTCTGAACCAGAACTAGCTCATTTCGAAGGTGTTGACCTAGGTTATTCGCCACTTGAATATTTTCCTGGGATCCGGGGCCGTCTGGACACCACAGTTTTAGTTACATGTCAATTATTTGTACTGGCATATTTGACATAGAAAAATTTCAATTTTAGATTATTTAATTGGTAATGTCGTATGCCGTAAAAAGTACCCTGGTAGTCCACTTAGGATTTAAAAATACTTTTTCAAAATAAAAAAAAACAGACCCATTTTCACTGAACTAGCACATATTTTCATTTAGGGGCCAGCTGAAGCCCGCCCCCGGTTGCGGAATTTTCTCACTTTGTTGAAGACCCATAGGTGGCCTTCGGCTGATTTTCTGCTCTTTGGTCGGGTTGTTGTCTCTTTGACATATTCCCCATATCCATTCTCAATTTTATCAAATAACCTGTATACGGAAATGTTTTGATGTATAGAGAAATAGATATCAAAAATGATATGAACTAAAATACTTGATTCCGAGTGTATGGAAAGCCTGTATGTAGTAGTATCATTCAATGCATCTTTCTTATTCAGATCAATGAAAATGTATACTAGTATATAACACAATTCATCACAACGTGCTTAAATCAATTATTAACAATGATAGTTGTACTTGGATTATCTTATTTTGTATTCTTTCATTCATTGTTTCTGTACCTCATAATCTTAAGGAAAACGAGGAAAAGAATGGAAAAAACGATTTTCAATTGTACCATTTTTTATTACACACATAGTATTTTAAACGACTTGTCGTCTTTTGAGACTCACGACAAGACGTGAAAATGTCGAATAGCGCTGTCAAAGGAGTTGCTATTATATTTAACTAAGATTTCGAGATTTTCGGAACGTCTGAGTCGTATACAGTTTTTTTAGGAAAAGGGGGGGGGGGGGGAGGGGGTTAAAAATATCATAAAAAATGGCTGCTGAAAAAAAAAGTTGCTGGTATCTTGATTGGCTGAGAAAAGTGACTGACAACTCGAGTCTGGTAAATCAGGTCTCGGTATAGATATATTGAGATGTGAGATAGAAGGAGGACATGAACATCTATTTGTTATCGCATACCCATATAGTATAGTAAGCTACAATTTATCAAAGAGCCCGGCATGACAATCGTGAAACAATTCAAATAGAAAACCAATTTAACGCCCCGCTTTAAACCAACCACTAAATATTGATTCTTGCAAAATTACGTATTTCTAAAGCAAAAATCATTTATATGCCATTGTCGGTAAAGAAAATTAATGTTCCAAATAATCTGTAATACACTGGTAAATTTGTTTGCATATATCAGAATAAACTGGCGACAGTGACATGTTCCTACTATATGTATTTTTTCTCATATTGCAAGAAATTGGTGATCACCTAATACAGGTATCCAGAGAAGCGACATAACTAACTCTCAGGCATATTTTAATGCATTTGTAAGGGGGCAAAAAATGTTTAAAGTACTGGCATACTGTAAACTCGGATGACCCCACGGTCTGATAGATAGCGAATAAATGATACGACATTCCATATCCCTTTAAACTGCTAAAAATAAGTTGCTTTTTTTATTCTAACATCCAGTGTTAATTAAATCCGCTTAATTTTAACGATAACATATCAAAAGATTAATCAATGTGGTAGATTTTGTTCGCGCATAGTGTCGAAAGGGAAATCTCAGTGCAAAACATGTAAGAAACTGTCCAAACGGTCGATAATTGATGCAACAAATTTGCGTATATCAACGATCGGGATTGTATTCAAAATTGTCAGATACCCTTCCAACGAAACCAGAGAAGTCCAAGTTAAAGATGTTCGCTACTCTGTTTCAAAATAACAAGCTTTTTAAAAAAAAAATGTTATAAATTGATAGTATATAAATAACAGAACTAAAAGAGCAGAAAAAAATGAAAGGTTCGTGTCCTTAATTAAGCTAAGTTTTGAACATTGAACATTTGACGGGAAATGAATTTCTGTATATTTGCCATACATTTAACGTTTGTAAAGTTTTTCTTTCAAAAAACTTTAAAAAAATAAAACAAGGATTTTATAAGGATAAAATAGCTTTGTAACTAAACGTTTTAATATTATGAAAAGAAAAGGAGGAGTATTGTGCAAAATGTTTAATGGCACCACATTGATAAAACCAGCGGATTCCGAAAATCCCACAAAAAATTTTAACAAACAAGAGCAGCGAACATCCTTAACAAAATGCTATACTCATGTGACGCCTGCTTGTGTATACAATAGTTGTCCCTTTTTCCTACAAGTCAACAGCGTAGACCTTTTTACGTTTAATTGTCAACACTATCGTTGTTACAGTATGTGTGCGTGATTAGTAGTAATGGCTCGTTCACACGTACATTTAATTCGAATTGAACTCGAATCGAGTGCGAATAGAATTCGCTAATCGCGTTCCCATACTCTTCTTTTTTAATTCGAATCGATCGATTCGAATTGGCCAATTCGCATTAAGTTTCGTTTTCTTGGTTGTAAACGTGTTTTATATCCCAAAAGATGTACGTCGATTCTGGTGGATAACATATCTTCGGTTTACCTGTAGATCATTCTCTATAAACGGTAAGTCGATTGTAAAACAAGTTTCAATGATCGTTACATATAGATTCTTACATTGATACCAGTGGATTATCGGATTTATCCAATCGAGATAGTTAAATTATCAATTTTAAAGTCCGAGCCTCGGCGAGGACTTTAAAATTTATAATTTAACTATCGAGATTGGATAAATCCGATAATCCACGAGTAACTATGTAAGAATCTGTTTCTCTAATGATTAAAAAATAAATTTTCCTTTTTTGCTAAACTAAAATCCCCTTCGAGTGCCTTCCACTTTCCATAAAGTTGTCAATTTCATTAACACCTGTTAGCATATTTTGATGCATCCAGTGAGCTGAGAAAGGTTATGACCCTTAAACTCATCCAATCATCTTCTGAGATCACTGGCAACCACACGTTGATTAATTTTTTTATACAATGGGTTCGGAAAGGGATAAATTTCCATAGAATTAGAGAAAAATGCATTATATGTATGTCTATAAGTCTGATACGTAAAGTAAAGGCGATATCGCTTTTTAGACGACTACGAAATAAGACTTGTCGTTGTAATCACGTTACTTAAAGTGCATTTCATCACAGTTCCATACTCGTCAATTAAAACAAAGATAATTTAGTAAAAAAATGAGACGGATAACACATACCTCTACAGAATTTTGGATCCTCATCACTCCAATCGTCACAATTAAACATGGTGCTTCCATCTCCACCATCGCAAAGACCCCACAAAGGAAAACATTCATTACCATCACGACATTTTATATAGCCTTCAGCACATGTCTGGTCTGTTATCAAAGTAATAAATGTTAGTAATGAGACAGGTAAATGTGTACTGATTTAACCTGTGTATATCAATTTTTCCAGGAATGAAAAAAAAAAATCACTTACTAAACATTAATGCTGTCAAAAGACACAAAAAGACACTTGGATCTTGATATTATAAAAAAAAAACCTTCTAGCTTGGTTTTGCTTTGTGGGATTCCCTTTTTGTCAATTTACCTTGGAGTGCGGTATTTTTGTTCATACTTTTTTTTAGAGAGGAAACCACATATACCCTGCCTTCTCATATAAAGGGGAGCCTGATAACGGTCATATTCAAGAGATCAGAGTTAATAGTGTTAAAGCATAAATTCCGAATTTCCCTTTTCCAATAGTATTTGCTTATTGAACTCATAAGAGGATTTAATGACGGAAAACCGTTGTTCAAATTTGGATGAGTTTCTGATAAAAATTGATATACGCTAGACAACTGACAAGAATTTATAAAGGATGTTTTCACAAGTCACTCTCCAAAAAAATAATCCCTCATTTCAGGATTTTCAAATTCTTGAACTCATCCGCGTTTTTAATGAGTTTTTGAGTTTGGTATTTTGGAAGATGTCTTAAACAGCAGCGGCAAAAATACTTCATGAACTTCGCAGTAAAGGCAAGAGGAATTAAGTAAGGAAATTGTTTCATATGATATAAATAAGAAGATGTGGTATTAGTGCCAATGAGACAACTATCCCTCCAAGTCACAATGTGTAATAAAAAGTAAACAATTATAGGTCAAAGTACAGCCGTCAACAAGGAGCCTTGGCTCACACCGAACAGCAAGCTATAAAGGGCCCCTAAAAGAATAGTGTAAAACAATTCAAACAGGAAAACCAACGGTTTAATCTATATAAAAAAACGAGTAACGAGAAACACTTATGAACCACACCAACAAACGACAATCACTGAACAACAGGCTCCTGACTTAGGAAAGGTGCATAAAAATGCAGCGGATTTAAACGTTTTAACAGGCGTCAACTTTCACCCTCACCTGAAACAGGGGTTAAAGATTACAACATAATTAGACACACAATAAAATATAAATTGAAATGGCTTAACTCGATCAAAAACAATACACAAAAACAAGCAAATATACACTGAACGAATAAGTTTGATCTTTGACACAATATAAATAAAAAAGATGTTTCAATGTCATAAAGACAATTTTAACCTAGGACAAATTGGCGTTAAATAAAGTAACGTACACAGGTAAACTTTAATACCTACTTTTACAAAACTCTGGGTCCTCGTCACTAAAATCATTACAATAAGCGATACCATCACATAAGCCATGTACGTTGAAACATTGCTTTCCGTCTCGACATTTCCTCCAACCATTCCAGTCATCCCAGGCATCAAATTCAGGACAACTTTGTTCTGTAATTAATTTTTCAAATACTAATACATTACTTTTTTATTATTTTATTTTACACTCGGACAGATTTGACATTCTAAATAAGTTTTTAATAAAACACATATTCGTCTTTCCAATAAATAGCTAAAAGTTTACATTTTAACAAATTGGTAAAAATGCTATATTTTGGGGTCACAAATGGTGTCTTATCGGGCCTACTCCTTTCTATGCATCCAACGTGCTTTTGTTAATTTACCTTCATAACGAACGCTTAAAGCTTCTGTTCCATAAATATGGGCTGTTTTGGACAATACAATGCGCATGCATCAGGTAATAGTATCATAAATTCATGCAATATTACTGAAATCTCCACAATTTTAGCATTTGTTCTAATTTTCAGACGGTTTTTGTCCAAAATGGAAGTGGCCGCATTTTTGTTCAGTCTTAATATTTAAATATATTTTGTATTTTATGATATTGCATAGCAGATATTAAGGTTGAGACTAAACACGAATGCAACCACTTTCATTTTAGACAAAAACCATCTGAAGCGTGACGTTTTATGGCATATTTGATAGATTTTTCATAATAAAGCTTGAATTTGAGCGCCTTTTATGACCAAATCAGTCCAAATCTTTTACATAAACTAATTGAATCGACTGAGGTAGACACTTAAGTGTTTAAAAAATGTCAAAAATCTTTCATTAGATGTACTTAATAATAGGCCAAAACTAGCCCTTACCGGACCGTCTCCTTTATAAAACTTCTTTCATTTTATATGATTATCATGCACATATCGCGTATATCTAAAGTTGGGGTTAGTTACCCATCCGTAACCCATCCCTTCCGCTCCCCGCTCCCCCTCCCCGTTTTTTGTTTGTTTGGTTTTTTTTTTTTGTCGTACAACAATCTAATTTTTTTACGATTTATATGATTTTTTAACATAAAATCGTCTAAAATGTATTTCGACTCGCTCCGCTCGACAGGATAGATACATCATTCTGCAATTAAACCTTCTTTCAATAACCAGCATCAAGTGCTCTCTTGACAAAAAAATTGGGAAATAAAACGTTTTTGAACATAAAAACCAAAAAGGACCATAATAGATCATTCATTATTATATATAACTATCTAATTGTGGTCTGAGTTAGTTTTTGGACAATTACTATTGACGAATTTGAAAAATATAAACAAATGTACCATTTATGTCATTCAAATACAAGAGTGTTAGCTCTACTAGACATACAATCCAACAGAAACACACAAACCTAATATTAGTAAAATACAAATAGTATTATGTTCGTTCTTACTGTGCTCATCCATATCAATTCACGAGATTCATCGGTAAACTACTGTCGCTTTAACTTAAAACACGTTTCTCTTGAATAACCGTCATCTAGTTCAGAGCTTATCTTTTGAAGAATTAAACAAGAACTCTAATTTCTAAACTCTGAAGGTTTTATAATGAGTGTACCCTTTCACTGAATTATTCATGATGTGGTAATATAACTTTTTTTTTATATGTTTCACATGAGAGAATGAATTTTTAATATATAGATGTCTGGTTCATACATCGGCATAAACATCTTAGGTTAAAATATGCTAGAATAGCCGTCTGATTTGTAATTCTACCGATTGTTTTCTATTCCCGATATTGAATTTTTAATTCGTATGGCTGTGATCCATGCATAACAGTTGACGCTTATTCTGTCGACGTAATAGGCTGCGCTCTTTTTGGAGTTCGTGTGATTTCCTCAGTTTCTGTTTTTTACCTTGATTTGTGTCTTTCTAATTAGTTTACGAGATCTGAACATCAATAAACCACTGTAGCCTGAATTATATTAAATAGACGCGCTGAGCGTAATGTTTAAGTGCTAGTTCACAATGTAACAATCCGGAGGTACACATGTCATCCTACTCACTAGACATATTATTCTGATTTCGAGTCGACCAATGCTCTTACTACTCGTAAATGATGCCTACTTAGTGGAAAAGCATAAAATGCAAATTTCTTAAAGTCTTTTGTTTGAGCCGACCTCTCTCACTCGGAGAAAGCACTTAATCACAGATACAGGGCGTATGCTGTATCACGTTCGTAATTATATTTATTATAACGTTTATTGGATTGTATTTTCAGACATTCCTATTTTCTGGAAATGAATCTGGACTTATCCGTATGTTCACTACCGTTTACTTTCTCTTCCTCGCCTTTCAATTACAAATGGATGCCACGACAAAATTGCTCCTGTGGATATTGTGACAAATCACCGTCAAGTACGTTTCAATTCGACTATAAACTGTTAAATATTTATTCCGTTAATTCCGTTAACTTGAATTACACATTTATTCAACAAATACGAACTGTAATTGTTTATTTCTTTGAATTGAACTGCAAATTCTACTTTCGTTTTTGACTTGATACTAATATTGCATTGAACGTTCATATATTTCTTTCGTATATATTGTAAAATATTGTATTTTTATTTCTTTCAGTTTACCAAACAATACAGACTCTGTAAAAACTCCTGTATCCCTTCTGGTGGAATTATAATCTACAATCTTCACACACAAGTTGTTATTTTTATAATTTGCCGAGATTGCGATTCAATCACATGGTTATACTAGCTGAGTCAGGCTCAGCATAGTAAATTGACGACAACCTGTCTACACATATCCAGACAAGGAACTGCAACGTAGTATCGTTACAACTGTTACAACAACATTACGCAACACAGCTTGTGTGTACCAGGCAGCAAACTGCCAACGTTTGCAACAGTCTATTTTAATCTTACTATCCGTTAGTTGATTAGGAAACATGGATTCTGATCACGCAGACGCCAAGATGACCCCGAGCGTCAAGAAACAAAACTCCAAACAGACACGGAGCTGAAAATAGATGCCGGACAGCCTGTGGACAATCCGTCGAATGTAGAGGAAAATCCCGAGACTAGGCGAGTACGTGACCTCACGGAAAAAGGCCAGGGAGCATTCACAGAAAAACGTGACAAGTTCTGTCAGGAACTAGAGACCCTCTGGTCTGATATAGAATCCCAGTTATTGGAAGTCACCATGCCACCTAACGAGCTCCAGCAACTCTTAACAGCACAGGACAAACTTGTAAAAGCCTGTACTAACTATCGTAGGCTCACAGATGAATACCTGAACTTTCTGAAAAGGACCAGAACATTGGACAGTCTAAAGGACATAGACGCATGTAATCTAACGTTGGATATTCGACTGTACAAAGTGGACCTGGCAATAGAAACATGGCACGAACATCGCATCGCCCTGACCAAGGCTAAATCTACTAAAACAAAGACCTCAAAGAGTAAGAAAACCTCGCATAGCGGCAGCTCTAACGAGTCTGACATGTCAAGCCTAGCACGGAGGAAGCGTGCCAAAGCAGAGGCCGCTAAATCAAAAAATATCCTTTGTCGAACAACATGCACTTATCCTACAACAGGAGGCAATGTTAGAGGAACAAGCCCTGTTCAGACAAACTGAAATGGAACAGAAAGCAGCACGCAAAAAGGCTGAAATGGAGCAAGAAGCTGCACGCAAAAAGGCTGAAATGGAGCAAGAAGCCGCACGTAAAAAGGCTATAATTGAACAGGAAGCCACACGTATGGAACAAGAAGCCGCGCGTACAAAGGCTGAAATGGAACAAGAGGCAATACACAGAAAAGTGCAACTAGAACAAGAGGCCATACGCAGGAAGGCTCAAATGCAACAGGAGGCCGCACGTGTAAGCCGTGAAAAATCCGAGCTGAAAGCCAAGTTAAACCTTCTCGATGCACGAAGAGAAGCTGCAGCCGCAGAAGCCGAGGCTCGTATCCTGGAATACGATGGTAGCCAAGCATATAGCGATCTCCCTGACGAAACAGAAGACCCGCTCCAGCGTGTGCAAGATTTCGTCAATAAACATCCTGTACCATCTGCTGTACAGGAAGTAACAGGACCCCAAAAGATAAAACAAATTCCTGTTAAGATTGAGCTGAGTCATGAATCACCAGCGTTCGTGCCATCTGTGGCACTGAACTTGCCGTCACAGACATCTGCTGTCTTGCCTTCCGATACTAAATCACCGGAAGTTACCTTAATCCCTGATCTGGGAATAGTAACCGGCATACAAAAACTATGCCTTTCAGAGGAGATCCCTGCTGAACACCAGAAACAAGGTGTTAAAGAAGAGATCCCTGCTACATACCTGCAACCAATTAATCCTACATCAGAGATAACTAGATTTCTTCTACGCAAGGACCTACTATTCTCCCGGTTAACAAGCTTTTATGACCGGGCAGAATCCTTCCATACATGGAAAGCCAGCTTTAAGAACTTGACCGACGAGTTACAAGTTTCTGACTCTGAGCAGATTGATCTTCTGATCAAGTGGCTCGGTCCAGAGTTCGCTAAACTTGCCATCAGCATAAGAGCGTCGAACGCAAATAATCCTACAAAAGGCATTCAAAGGTTATGGCAGAGACTGGATGAGCGATATGGTGCTCCAGAAATGTTGGAGGCCTCTCTCACAAGTAAACTCGTCAACTTCCCTACCTTGACGAACAAAGATAGCGCACGCCTTTACGACTTGTCCGATATTCTATCAGAAAAAGAGTATCACAAAGAAAATCCCAAGCTGGGATGTTTGCTAGCATATTTTGACTCTTCGTCCGGGATAAATCCTATTGTTGAAAAATTACCATACGGACTCCAAGAAAAGTGGATAACAAGGGCTACAAGATACAAGTCTAAATATGAAGTTGCCTTTCCACCTTTCACAGAATTCTCTGCCTTCATCAGGGAAATTAGCAAAACAAAGAATGATCCTGGGTTCATCTGTGGGTCAAAAGCCACACCAAATACAAAAGGTGCTGCGCCAAGGTTCACGTCTCACCCCAAGACTAAAGTTGGTGCTCATAAAACAGCGGTTGAGCAGCAATCTAGAGACGCCAGCATACAAGGTCTTTGTATTCTGCACAATACCAAGCATTCCTTAAATGAATGTCGAGCGTTCCGAGCAAGG